TTTTTTTTTTTCTGCAACTACCATCCAATATCAAGCTCTCAACCCCATAAAGAACAGGAATTTTCTCATCTGGGTTCCTCAGAAAAATTCCCATTGGTAGTTTCCATACCATAATTTTCCTGGGAAACTAACAGGATGTTATGGTGAAGTGAAAAGAAGAGGGTAAATGGGGTCATGTCTCCTGTCTCCTGATTCATAGGATAGGGGGAAAAAGCAGGAAAGGGGAAAAGATATTCAGATTTCATAAAAACCCTGCCATGGCTCCACTAAGATATTATGTTCCCGCACATGCAAGCAACCACAACAATACAAATTTCTTTCTTTTTCCAACACTAACCTCACTGCGTTCAGTGTGAACCTTGATGTTTTGTGGTAATTTGAGGGACTGGGAATGGACATAGGGGTCAAATCATGCCCCAACAAGAAAGGAAAAAGTCAACTTTAGTTTCAGGGTTTATTTACATGGGGGCAAGGCAAAAAATGGTGAAGTCAATCACGAGTGTTGCAGCTGCAGACACTAGGTATAAAATAATCAGACTTTGCAGATTGCAATGAAAACATGATTGGATGTCAATTTACCTTTAGCCCACGGAAGATAATGTATTTACTTCATGGCTGCATTTCTCCTGTCTGCCTTAAAAGTTCCATGCCATCACAGAAGTTGAGTTGAGGCTCAAACTGTAGCACCTGGCTTAATTGAATAAGGCTGCACTGCAGTATATCTAGGGGCAGTTTTCCAGAAAATACAATAGGGGAGATGCTCAAGAACTGTGCAGAGGATGAGGGGGGGAAAAGATGATAATTTCTCCCGCATGCTGTTTTTGCGGGAGATAGGAGTCTCAGTTTCATTCATGTTCAAGAAATTGATTGCAATGAGTAGCTGTAAGTCTATTTTGGACGTAACTCAAGTTCCAAAATGGGAATTGATCCGTGGCATATCAGTAGAAATCATAAGTATGAAATAGTGTACTTAGTAAAGAGCATTTAATTGGATCATTTTCATCTTCAGAGGACCCAACAAGGCACCATGAGTATGAAATAGTGTACTTAGTAAAGAGCATTTAATTGGATCATTTTCATCTTCAGAGGACCCAACCAGGCACCATGTGCCCTTGAGAGTTGAGATCACCACACGCTGAATTGCTACAGTGTATAGCTTTTCTCTGAATAGTGCCCTTTAGGTGCAATCAAATCAACTCACATTGAAGCCAGGCAGGTGAAGTAAATGAGGCATATTACGCAGTGGATGGAGTTAGGTCCTAGACAATAGGCAAAAGACAAAGATATCATAATAAAACAATTACACTAGCTTTTCAGGTACTGTTCAAAAAAAAAAAAAAACAATTAGAATAGCTTTATGCAATCAGCGGTTCATAATTTCTGAATCTCAGATAGACTGATATTATAGTATTATGATGAGGTCGACCATATCAAGGTGATATGATACATGCTATATAGCAGTTAGATATGAGATTAAAGTAGTCTGTCCCTTCTTGATTGTATGTGACAGCATTCAATGATTGTCAAGAAATTACCTACATACATGTAAAAGTCTACTTTACATCAATAGGTTTAAACCAGTCAGGTTCAAGGCTTCATCACTAGGTCTTTTCATCCCAACCGATGGTTCCTTTTCTCTGATCTAAGTTCAGTTTGCTGATCCCATTCGTTTGTACACTCTTTCTCCTTCTGTACCTAGGCTTCAACATCTGTTTGACAAGGTCTTAGCATTAGAGAGAGAAAATGGCATTTGAAATAATTGGTAATGAGCATACTATGGTATTAAACTCAGCAAATCAAACCATCCCTAATGAAAATCAAGCTAAATGGTAGAGGTGGCTATCCTGCCTGAAATTGTTAGTGAAGTAAGGCAACTAACACAATCCTCTTTAGTGCTTGGCGTTCAGCTTCCTTCTCATTGAATTTGGATTGAGCCAAATGCAATTCAGATTCCAGCTCCATAAGTTGGCTACCCTGCTGTTCAATGAGCAAATGGCAAAGCTTCCGATTCAGTTCAGATGGCAACACCCCATCGAACGGGTAAGTGTCACTACTCTGTTCCCCTGCTTCATTCAACCTTTCAGCTGAAACCTCAGTCTGCACAAAATTTCTCTAGCTAAATTGAGAAAAAATTGTCAAATAATAAAGATTCATGGTTTTAAAGATGAAAAACTTAAAAAAACCAACTCATCATTTGCACCAAAACATGCATCAAATTTTTAAGACACAGGATGATCAACGCATAATACTTTTAAATAGCAGACTCAAGTAGCAAATTAACTTAAACAATTCACCAGTCATTGATGAGGAAAACCGTGCTCAAGCTTGTTTTAGTTCATAACATCCATCAAATGATTCAAATTTTTTAAGACACAGGACGATCGACCCATAATTCTTTTAGATGGCATGAATTTGAGTAGCAAATTAACTTAAACAATTTATCAATCACTGATAAGGAAAACCAGTTTCAATGAAGTAGTATTTGAGTGCTCAAGCGCATTTTAGTTAGTACTTATTAAATAAACCAGTTTCTGCTTAAATTTGGTCACCTATGGTTAAGTGCTAAAAGTACATTATTTTTTACTTCCATTAGAAGGATTAGTAACTTAGGTGCACTGTCGCACTGGAAAAGTTTTTCAGGTGTGAGATATCTACCAGTGTCGGTGGCATGGAGAGAACTTCATATACTGAAGCTAATATTGTATGGCTCTTTCATATCAAAAAATATATCGAAGCTAATACCCATGTTATCCCCAAAAAAAAAAAAAAATTGCACAAAGGACAGAAGATTCTTGGAAAAGCTCACTCACTAAGTTTTTGCAGTTCAGCCTCGAGCTCTACCACCAGTTGAGTCATTTCTATGTCCTCTGGCCCTCATTCTGGCTTTTCAGCAAGAAGACCATAAAAAGGTTAAAATTAAAAGCCACAATTATTAAACTTCAGAAGACATCTTGAAAAGGAGTCATAGGACTGTAGGGCCACCCTTTTTTCAATGAAGTAGTATTTGATTTGATCACGTGAAGTCAGGAATTTCTTTTTTAGAACAAATTGTAATTATTTACTAGTATTAATTGGAGGGTGAAGAAATGGATTTTGTAGATTTCAAACACGTAATATTTATGAGAAGTGAACGGTCCTAACCCAAAGTTCATTGTAACTGAGTTGGAGTAAGCCTGTTCGTGAAGCCAGGAATTTCTTTAAAGCTAAAGAAAAATTCATTAATCTAAGTATCATCAAAGCTCACCTCACTCCATTAGAACCCCTCCTTTTCCCAATGAGAATGAAGTGATCATAGGAAAATGATTGGTTCCAAACTTCCAAAGCTGTGTTTGAACCATCTGAGATTGTTGGGTGCCACTATAAAAGGTTTAAATGACATACATAAGGTCCAGTAGCATAAACTTATAGTATATACAACATTAGTCCATGGTACTCAAATTTTTTTTGAAGGTTTTGCAGGAATAGGCTAATCCTCATTGATCTCTTTCATGCCTGCTGGGAAAACTGAAAACAACAAGACAGGTAAAGAAATGTTCAGTCCTTACATTCCTAATGATCTTTTTCCCTTGGAAATGGAAATGCACAACTAGGCTAGCAATATCTCCCTATGTCAAAATTTTCAAGATCCAAAGCAATGAAAGGATTAAAATTAAAAGCTACAAATATTGATTTTCTATCCCATTCCACAGCAGCTCAAATACAAATTCACAACAAAACCAATAGCATACCTCTTGAAGAACCGAACACACACACTTGTAAGAAGCAGTCTTGGCAGTTCTCCTAGTCTTTAAGCAAGCAGCAAATCTAATTCTACACAACACTACATCCTGAATCTCATCTCGCGCTTCTTCATCACCTTCTTCCCCAAATTCCTTCTCCCAGCTCGAAATCCAGTTTTTCCACTAGACCCAGAACCGGAAAACCCAAAGATCCCATCTTTCTTCCTTTTCTCATACTCACTCTCATACCCAGCCACATGTTTCCCGCTTTGCTCCCATTTCCAAAATTGCATGGATTCCGTGCCGGCAGGGAAGTGAAGCTTGAAAATTCCAAGTGATTAAAAATTTAAAATGATTGAAAGACGGTTTTGGCCGAAAAAGGAAAATGATTTCCTAAAAATGGATTTGTTTCCGTAAAAATGGATTTATTCAGACAATAAAAATAAAAAAATACTAAGGTAATTTTGAATTCTTAAAAAAAATTAAAAAAATGTTAGGTAAAAAAAAATTTAATTGAAACGTGATTTCAAATTCAGTAATTTATACTTAAATTTTAAATACTTGAATTTAATTAATTTAAAATTCGAACTCCTAACTTAAAAAAAAAAATCTTTATCTCTCATGTTAATATATATATATATATATATATCATCTAGTTGGCCACCGACACTCCGAAAAAAATATAAATGCCAAGAACAATATAGAAGGTACGGTCTTAAAAGAGAGATTAATTAATCTTAATTAACTTTGAAGTGACTATAAATTATGGAGAAACATTTAACTATTTGAATATATTTATTGTAAAAGAATTATTATGCAACACTCTGGTAAATGTCACACTTGTATTCCACCTCATTTTCCAGTTATTAAAAAAAATTAAATAATTTCAACTCTCTTACACTATAAATTATGTGTATTCAAATGAATTCACTCACGTATTACATTGTATAATTTCATTACAAATCATAAAAACAAATTTTGAAATAAAAAATTAATTTTTCTTACAAGTAAATGTCATATCATCATAGATTAAGAGCTAGCTAATGAAAAAATTCCTGTATGTCATGCATAAAACCAATGTCTTGTTACTTGAATTAGTATCTGCCTTCGATTGCATTTCAACAATGTTATCTCTCTTTATTTTTTTTTTTAATTTATTTTGGGTTCCACTTTGAGTGATAATTTTTTTCTATCTTTTTTATTTTACCATTTTCGCATGTTATACAACTTAAACTAAAGAAAAATAATTTTAAAAAAATCTTTTTGTATCACTTTTTGATATAAATATATAATTTAATATATCATTTAAATAATTAATTTTTTTATTTATGTGAGATTTATGAAATTAAATGCATCAACTCATTTAATGATATATAAAAATTGTATAAAAAAGTGATATAAAAAAAATCTCTATAACATTGTCTTAAACTAAATATCTCTTATTTTTATTGAAAATAAATTATTACTAAATTATTTAAATGGTTGACAACAATGTAATTTCTCTTAGATTGCTTGATTGATGAATTGATTGTCTTTATTGTTTTAGCTTGGAATTGAGATTAAGATGGGAGTAATTTGGATGGGATTTAGTTTTCAAAAAAATTTGATGCGTCATGGTACATACCATTTCTGATCAAAATCACTGCATACCATAGGGATTGTAAAGTGAAACAAATTTTGCTTCTTATTCAATTTCTTTCAACACTACTAAAATCCTGAGTGTTGGGTCCTGAAACACCAGTATTCCCTTCACTAACACAGCATTACATACCCTTCCAGCTAGCATGCTCCTTGGTTCTTGCTGACAAAGGAGTGGAAAAAAGGGGAGAAAATCCACGCTTCAATTTTGTTAAAAGTCTATGCGATTAAAATAATTTTCACTCAATTCCAGAAAACAATCGTGTTATCAAGCAAAGAAGAAGTTATAATTCAAAGCTCAGATTGGAACTACAACTAAGAATTGTATTTGGAGTGTTATTGTGGAAGAAATTCTGTTGCTTGCAACGTCTATACGCATTAAAGCATTTGTTAAGTTCCTTCAAAATAATTTCCTATCTAAAACATAAAAATCAGTAAGCTTTCCATGTACTACATATATAGTTCTGAGTGCTTTACCCTGGCATATGTATCATCTTCTATACTCTTCAGCCTGAATTTCACAGCACGACTTCGAGCCGGCTTCTCATATCGTGAGTTCCCAAGAGTGGCATACAGGAATAAAATTTGATTAACAGTTGCATCCTCCATTATTGATAAAAGCAGAATCCTCAAAGACTAGCTTGAAGCTATTGCCTGCCACAAGAAACGAGAGCATTTTCATTGAAAGTGACAAGTCAAACACCAAATATTTCATCATATCCTACTTTTGAATACGGAAAGGGATGCGAAAATAATCGAGAGTGTGTGTAAGATAAAGAGACAGATCTAAAGACACATTCAATGTTCAACCACCCAAACCAGCTATTCATGCCACTACTAGGGCCCAAGGTCATTTTCCTTATCAAATGCTAAGTTCTATACAACCACTAACTTTTTCTCATAACCTAAATTCAATTTATTCCATATACCTTTTACAATCTTCTTTGTTGTGGTACTGAATGTAACCTATGTTTCATAGTTTATCCATTCATGTTACATTCCTCTAATTTTTTAATCTTTTAAAGATTGAACTCATCGTAAAAATGTGCTATTTCTAACAACCCAATACTCTGCAACACCTACTATGAAAATGACTAGAGTTTTTTTTAGCCACATCAGACAATTCTTCTTCTTCTTCTTTCCCCTCCTTTGTGTGTGTGTGTGTGTGTGTGTGTGTGTGTGTGTGTGTGGCAGATAAATATCTTATGAAGCATAAAAAAACAAAAGACAATATCCTGAGGAGTTTCTTCATTACAATCACTTCATTTTAATTATGTGGAAACAATTTTCATGCTCCTCCCTGCCTTATCCCTTTATCACTTGCACTTGTTACTACAGTGTGTACCTTATACAAATTCAAACAAGGGAAAAATGGACCCAGAAGAATCCCCTGTTTCCCAATAGTAGGAACCCTGCTCGGGCTTTAACATAAGGCCAGTTAAACACCATCACATAGCAAGGAAAGGAGGGCTTGAAAGACAACGGAAAACAAGGAGAAAACAAATTTTGGCTTAATTAATGGTTCCTGAATTTCTTAAGCATGAGTCAAGCATATAAAATAAATGAAATTCTAATAAATAATAACTCTACTATGCTTCCTCCATCCAAGAATAGTATAAAAACTTTAAAATCTTAATTAATGACATTCAACTAAATAAGCAGATGAAGGAAATATGCCCTTGGAAATATCCATCCACATGGAAATATGTCAATAACATTGAGAAAAATGGTAGACTTTACACAGAGCTAGATCAGCTTGGCTTTATGATAACATCAATTTTCCAACATGGGTGATCAAGAACGAGACAAGAAACTCTCTAACTTCCAACTACACAGTGGAAACGATACCCAAAAAAAAAAGGGGCAAGAGCTGAATCTGTTAATATGATTTTTCAATATTAAGACTAAACACAAGGTATACTCTGTGTCAATCCATCAAAGTGGTACCAATAATATGATAGATCTATCTTATAAATCGATGTCGATAAGTTCATCATATGAACTCCAAGGAGTTTTCATAACAAATTACAGGAGAACCATTAAAATTAAAGGAACACAGACACGAACAACCATGATTCTGGCTCAAATTTCAACCTAAAACTTTCACAGAATTGATACTGTGCAACCAAGGCAACACTAAAACGTGCAAAACACGAATCAACTGGCAATAAAGGAAATAATCACAAAGAAGCTCTCAATTCACCAGCAATAAGGAAAATAATCAAGCATAGAAAAAAGCCATCAACAATTAAATTCCTTCTTACCCAGATAAATAATCAACTGCTCTTGGAGGCCATATTTCTCCTAGCTGCCCTCGCATTATCATACTCAAACTTGAAGACATTGGGTATATGAGAAGTGTCCTTGATATAAAACATCCTCCCAAACGCGCTCTCCTCAATCGCAGGAAAGCAAGAGAAAAGCACCGAATTGACAACCCAAAACCAAACCCATCCAAGAAAAATCCCCAGAGCTGCCCCGGCGAAAACCTGAGGTACGGTGTGGTACCCAAGATACACCCTCGAATACATGGTGAGCGGAGCCAAAGACCAATACAAGAACAAGAAAACCCATTTGCTTTTAACCTTCCAAATCCCTCCAATCCCTTTACATGTCAATAGCGTCATGTACACAGCAAAGAAGAACACGTATTGGGAGTGGCTGGAAGGCCATCCATGGGAATCGCACATCTCTAGGAGAGCACAGGTCTCTGGTCGCGCCTGTTGAACGACTTTCTTAGTGAGTTCGCTGATTATTTGAGATATCAAGATGCCTAAAGCGAAGAACATGCCCTGGAGCTCCCGGCGGAAGATGAAGTGGGAAATGAACCCGCCGAGGCTAATGAAGACCGGAACCAGAGAGACCCAGGCTAGGAAATAGCCGAGCTGGTCTCCTTTCGTGTACCGGACATGGGTCAGTGTCACAGCCTTGAGTGGTGGCGTGGGCATGGCGTGGGTTGGGAATCTGCGGTTGTGGTGTGTGGAAGAAGGAAAAAAAAAAAAGGAATGGTACGTCGGAATCGGATCGGCGGCCAGTAAGAATTTGGATTGGGTTAATCGGGTGCGTGGTTCTTGAGAAACAGTTGAAGAGAATTGACGCTCCAAGAGTACCGGCATTTAACTACTTGGCTGCACGTGAGAAAGCCGAATAAGTCAGAGGAGAATAATCTCTCACGTGCTACCCAACAT